CCAATCAAAACCGGGCACAATTCAAAACTCCCGCGAGCGAAAAGACTCACGAAGCCTGCCCGGCGTCCTTTTTTTCGTGCTTCCGAGCGACTTTAGGCTCAAATGTGTCGATTACTGTAATTTGCTCGACGATCCACAGGTGCGCTTTTGTTGGTGCGCTTCTTTCCTGAAAAAAAAAGAACAAAGGAAAAGAAAAAACTCGTCCGACGTAATCCGCAGCCGAATTTCTCGGAAGGCTACTTTTGTGCTCGGCGCGCGGTCACCGATCACGACACGCGATCGTTAACACATCAGCTCGCGTGATATGAGTGATATTGGGAGATTGCTGAAAAATTTTCCGCGCGAAATTATATCCTTCGCTCCATGTGTTCGTAATCCGGAAAAACGGGGCGAGTCAAAAAGTCAAATATAAAACTTTACGTTATCGATAAAACCGCGACTTTTCTAGAAACTTTCGATCTTGACGGAACTTTGCTCGTACGTTTTGTAGTCGAAGCGGCCAACCCGTGGCATCAACCCGCATGTTTTTCTTTCTTTTTTTCAGGGATGCACCTGCGTACAAAGTATCGAATGTTACCGAGCCGCGCGCATCGCGCTTGCGGTATGCAGGAAAAACTTGCCCGACTGGTCACGCATAAGATACGAGTCTATTGACACGAAAACCAACAGGAGCAGAGCGTACGGGAGAGCACGGGACTGCGGATGGACTTTTAATAAATGTTCCCTTTGCGATATCGCTGTAACACGAGATTCACGCGAAACCGTCTTCCTCCAAGCGGCCTAACAAATGTGTCTTCGCGCTTAAACGAGCCAGAGAACTGAAAGCGTGCCGCCAAAGGACGCTCTTGGATCAACTTTCATTCATAAAGCGCGAGCACGCTCGATGGACGATTTAATTCGCGCGGTACGCCACGCCACGTAAATAATACGGATGTGAAGAAATGCATAATGACATGTTGCGACAGATAATCATGATGGATGCGTGATAAATACGGAAGAGAAACATCGCCGCGGCGTAGCTGACTTCGGCTAATGGTCAACAGGCCGCTCATGCTGCCCAACTTCGTGTGAAACAGGTCGGACAGGTGTGCGACAGAAGACCCGATAGGTGTGTGTGCGCTACGTTTAAATAAATATCTAACCGGTCTCAAGATAAACTTTCGTGCAAGTCAACAGGTCGAACAGCTCGAAATCCCTTCCTCTGTGCGAGCACGCACTCCGAGCCGAATGTAAAATTAACCTGTTACATGTCTATTCTCAAGAGAACGGTCATCAATCAATAGAGGCTGTTTGGTAAGCTTCAATGTGATGTAAATGAGTACTCTCTAAATTTTTAGGAATGAAACTTCGCTCAGAAAGTAGGATGAAAGTCATTCGGATTCGAGTGATTTTTCATTCGTATAAAGTGAGTTCTCTATTCGGAATAGAGTGAATATTTCCACCCGAAATTGAAGAGTGAATCTGGCATATCCCACCGTCATAGGAACAAATTCAGTTTAAATGATTAAAACAGTTACTCGTATAGTGAATTTGCTTTAAGTTACAGTGAAACATTCCTTCTTACGATTCCGAATGGCAATATTTTTACTATCGCTTTTTAATGAATTTTCACTCACTCTGAGAAATTCAGCGAATACAGAGTACAGTGATAGTAGATGATAAAATGTTACCTCCAGCGCACTTTGATCATGAGGTTAATAAAGTCACCTAAAAAACATAAAAATCGAAATACACATATCTCAAAAATAAGAAATAGCAAAAAAAACTGCAAATTTTTAATAACAACGTTTTCATAGTGGGAGACAGTATTTTTAAGAGTTTTAAGGGTTTAAAACCTCGTTTTTTGAAGAGGTTTTGTTTGATCTTTAAGCTATGATTCTTGGGTGCGTCAGAAAAAGTGGAAAAATTTTTTATCTCAAAATAGCGATTGGGAGATGATATTTTGTTTGTTTTATTTGCTATTTTTGAGGTATGTGTGTCTCGATTTTGACGGTTTTTAGGCTACTTCTTTTATTTCCCAATCAAAGTGCGCTGGAAGTGCGCTAACATTTTATTATCTACTAATGATTAAGCAACTAAACAATGCCGGATATCTCGTGAGATACGATTTAAATCTTTGCAGATGTTGTGCCGGAAAGTGTCACAACATAATGTCTTTTATTAGTTTACCCACGTTCACATTCAAACGCACGACAACTACTTTACACCTTCGAAGCCGGTGGAATGCCGGGTTATCCCGCGATGATAATACAGCTCGCTGATTATCGTGAAGCTGGAAGGCACCTCAGGGTCGTTTAAGTTACGTCGTAATGATGCCCAAGCGGCGAACCGGTTGCGGCCCTTGGGCCCTTAGGCCCTGCCACTACACTTATTCGGCCCCGGGATCGCCCTCCATCACTAACCCGAAGCGGACGAGAACAAGGAGAAGAGAAGAGGCGAGGGAAGAAACCCGCAAAAATCAACCACGCGCTCGCTCGCACCTGGTCCAAGGATGAAAACACGTCGTCGAACTGAATCGCGGGATCCTTCGCCGCGAACAGAGCGGCCAGCTGCGGAGTTTTGCAGCGGCCGATTCCGTGACGGGGCGGATCCGCATTGAAAGAAAGAAAAAAAAAAACTAGCGATACCTTACTAAACGCATGTAGTTTGAGATTTCGGAGGAACACAATTCGAAGGATGAAACATTATCTTGTTTCGTTGAATTAAATCATATTATTTGACTGAAAAAAAAAAAAACACTATTGTTTCACACAACACTAATGTTTTTACTTATTCAAATGTAAATATAAAATTTCTCAAAATCGTTTACGTATTTTTCTTTTCAATAAAATAAAAAAATATTACTCAAAACAATTTTCCCAACGGACTAGATATATTTAGCGGTAGTTTATCAAATATACCTCATTTTCTGCTCTCAGGATTCGGTATTAATTTCCAAAGTATAGTTTAACGGTCTAAATGTATAGTGCAAACAGCTAAATCTTAGTTCTTAGAACTAAGATTGTGTTTGCTTTGCTTCATCAAATTATTCCGTAATTCCGTAAGTCACCGGATGTTCGGCCCGCACCATTCACTCGAATTATTTAGTGGTAGTCACCAAATTTTCCTATTCATTACCAAATCCTTCCTTCAGTGCATTTACGCGCCCGGAGTACGGGGACGAAATGGCCCATAAATAAAACAAACATCGTCGGATAAATAGTCCGCGAGCGCACGCCGGAAACGCGCCGAAAACCGCTCGAGGACGCGAGAAAGATAGGGAGATCCCGACGTTTTAATCACCCGCTGAAATATGTCCCACCATTGGGGAATCCAATTGGTATTGACGTCGCGGTGCAGCGCGATAAATATTTGCCGCTGCCGAACCGCGCTCGCGCTCCGCGTAATTTTTAATTCGTTCCGTCCTGCTGCGACGCGACAATGGACGGCGTTTCCCGGCATCTCCTTCGCCCGATAACGTGTCCATTGTGAGGGTCTCCGGCAGCACAATGCGCCAGATAGTCGCGCTCCATTTTCAGAGAGATACAACAGCCCAGTGCGCGCCAAGAGGGTTGGACTTATAAATCCGACGATAAATCTATCAGCGGCAAAGGCTGACCGATATTGCGCCCGTGGCCGCTTGCCAGGAGCATCCTGCAAATCTTGTCGTATTGTACGGTCGCGTGCAAGAGTCTCTCTTTCTCTCTTTCTCTCTTCCTCTTTCGCCACACTCGCGTGGCGACGACACACGTACACACACTCTGTCAGCCGTCGCAGCTCTCTCTCTCTCTCTCTCTTTCTTTCATCTCTTCTCCTTTGCGAATGAACGGGCCGTAAGAAGCACGATTTATTTCAGCATCGTCATTTTTTTTATTTCTCTTTCGTTCACCATTCGGTGGTTATTCGCGGCCAGAAAGCCGGAGCCTTTCGAACAAGTCCTCAAGGACGCAGATTTCCTCCTCATGAATAAGGAATTTTATAACTTTGTGACTTCTCGACGAAGACGTTCGACGTGCTCTACATATTTACTCCCATATCTCGTATTATGCGAATGTTCGAGCGCGCTGTGACAGCGCTTCGTTAAGATGGCGAAGTTGAAGAATGTCGCGCTTATTCGCGGATTCACGACGAGATCGGACACTGATAAATTTCCCTCGCAATCAACGAGACTCGAATTGTACACGGGAAAGAAAGAATCAATTCTCACAGCTAAAATTTAGCTATCCGATTGACACAACTGATATTTAGTTGCCGTACTTAGCTTTTGGCCGTTGGAGCTAATTCTTTTCTTCTATGCACGACTACATAGTCATAAGATTTTCCACAACTAAAAATTAAATCTGGAGGCTAAATTTTAGTTGTATTACACAGATAGCTTAGTTTTAAATTATGGAGGGGAGGAGGAGGGGTAATTCTTTTTGTCGGTGTATCTGTGACTGTGGCCACGCGTGACGTCGACTATCCGTTGAATTTTTTTCACTCTTTTTGTAGAACAGACATCCATCCCGACGTACGAGTCATTCCGGTATTTCCGTCGAAGTAAATGTAACTCCCGGTAACCGACCTTGCATCTCGTTAAAGATCCACTTTACCAAATGAAACGGGTTGCGTGTCGGTAACTTGTATAATATTGTTAGTCACGCGTCGGCACCCGCCTATGTTATTTCAGGGCGGCGCACTCCCACAGGGTTGAGGATAGACGACGATCCTACAAACTACTGCCTGATGACACCCAGTAATAAACGCGCAGACCGTCGAAGCAACATGTGCCTCCGGAGTTCTGCCTTCTGAAGGGCACTTATTTCGTTATCTCTTGAGAAGTATAAGAACGTAATTCAGCTAATATGAACGAAGCCGATTAGATAACAAGTGTTGCAGCTTAATGATGGCAAAAGGATTCAAGAAACGTTGGGTGTGAGTGAAACTTCTTCAAGTGTTCGGGACTAATTGATAAGAGTCCCGAATTCGTGAGTTGTATATCCAAGAGTTGAATAATAAACCTGCTACACGAGCGTTTCACAATGTGGGAATACGACTTGGAAGCCATTAACAAATATGTGGACGAGAAGTTGCTGCGCGACGAAATGTATTCGAACACGACGAAGGACCCCACGAGGTTGAATATCATTAAACCGATCATCCCCCAGCCGACACGCCACATCATGGATCTCGTGTTTCTCGTGGCGGGTACCACTTCGAATGCCTTGCTCGTTCTCGTTATCCTAGTCAATTTTTTCATGCGCACCACCACCAATTGCTACATAATAAGCCTGGTGTGCTCGAACTTAATAATCCTGATCGAACCGCTTCAGCAAATGTTCCGCTGGATGTTCGGCGTGTACCTCGGCATAAATCTCGACTACGTGTTTTTGGTGACCTTCGATACGTCCGTGCTGACGATAGTTCAGCTCAACATCGAGGCGTACGTGGTGATCTGCCACAGAAGTTCGCCCCTTTGCGCACCGCTCCTGAAAATCTCCACGGCGGTGAAGGGCGTCTTGCTCATCTGGATAATGTGCATCGTACTGACATGCACGGAATTGCACTTGTACGAACACTTCATGAAAGAGATCATGCACGATATCTGCCTGTCCTCCACCGCTATGTTCATAGCGTTCCCGTGTTTTATTTTCGTTACGCTCGAATGCTTCATTCTATACGACCTGATAACGATGAGATCAATAGACGGAACGTGCTCGAGCGAAGATATCGAGCGTTTCGTCCTGCTGGGTGAGTGAGAATAATTCCGTTTCTAATTAATAACTGAGTGCATCGCGTTTTACTTAAGCGTATCCCAATCTTAAAATAACAAATTGCCCGCAGCCGGCATCACCGTTGGATTCGTTCTGTTTATGATACCGTATCGAGCTGCGAGATCCCTCGCCCTTGTAACAACATTTTGCTGCGACGACTCGACGATAGAGGTGGTTTATGCGATGGTTAAAATGTACACCACAATTTTGCCGTTTACGTGTTACGCGATATCGGCGAAATTCCGTCGAGCGCTCGAGGTTCGTAGACGCAAGTAGGTTGGCAAAAATGTTCAACGTTTACAAACGAACCGCCGAAAAATGCATGCTTCCCGCTAACCAAACTCGGTGGGTCCTTTTTTTGTTTCAGGTGACGCTACATTGTCGACGCCGGCAGCGCGAAATTTCCATCACGACGTGAAAGGTCGAGAATACATTCGAACGGATACGACGGGGAAATATGTGAAAAAGCTTCCGCGACGCTACCTTCAGGCATCGTCTGATATATTTTATCTCCGCACTCTTGGCAATATCCGTCACTTATATGTCGCACTTTTGAATAATTTATTATCCCTCAGGGAGGAACTTAAAATTCGCGCGTGCAATAAGCAAACACATCCGTTCTCGCGGGAAGGGAAGAAAGAGGCGGACGGCGAGCGGAGTCCGCACACAAATTTTCGAATTCACTGAGCTCTCTGTATGCAAATTAGTTTCCCTTTAAGCCTCTGCTCCGAGAGCCAAAGTTGAAACGGCATTGTACTTATGGGCGCACTGTACGTTTATGCAGATCGGGCGATATGTATTTTGTTTCGTTTCTCTTTCTCTTTTGAATTATAATACGTACTGTTTAAGTCAAAAGTTTCCGCCATTTAATTTAATAACACGATTACGTTGTACCTTCGCGTAATATTGTTGTGCCGAGTCACCGACGTTAAATTCACGTCGAATTGTGGATCAACGAACAAGTTTGTAAAAAGAGATCAAGGACCGCGAGAGAAATCCAATTAGAAGTTAACAAAGCGGCGATACTCGAACGTATCCCACATTGCGTATTCAACGCGCGCCTCGTTGAATTAAAATTACACCCGAGTAAGGGACATTTCCTCAAACTCATTCAGCTGTAACGCGCCGCTTCCTTTCTAACGAGGAGCGTTTTATCAAATCGAGGATGAAACCGAGTTTACCAAGTTGTAGCCCGACTGTCCCTCGGCGATTAGGAATTCCTATCGCGACTCGTTTCGTATTCCTTTCCTCGCGATTTCACGGCAGCATCCAAACGAGGTGGTTTACCAACGCCACTCGTGAAGATCGAGCTGCGTATTAAAGAAGATAAGGCGGGATTACCGGTAAAGGCCTGTTTACGTCCGAGATCTCTGACGGTGCTTCGCGAGTTAATTTATAATCAGCGTCTCGAAAGAAACGTTCGGCTCTGCCGACTGCGTCCCCTAAAATCGCGACGTTATCCCGAGTGATCGTAGAAATATTTTAATGTGACTTCTAGCTTCCGAATTTTTCAATCACGCCTCGAAAACGTCGAGTCGAACGAATGAAGAATGATTTGTAAATAAATTCTCGCGAAAAGTTACTTCAAAGCGTAGCTACGTAGTCGCTTTTCCCTCCCTACGCGAATAATCCTTGTAAAATACATCGCCGACAGTGAGATACATTCAACGTGTCGTCGCTGCGGAGGAAAAGGAGGATCGCGAAGAACCAGGAAATCGCTGAACCGTAACGCTCAGACAGAAGCTTCCGTTTCGACGAGCGAGCTAAGTTCCTCGTTCCAAAAACGCAAGTTTCTCGAACGTTTGAGCTTCATGAGGCTCGCTTCTTCGAATTCCACCTCGATCAAGAAGAAAACCGCTTTACAATGCGCTACACGTCGTATCGGCACGAAGAAAACAATTTTGCCGGAACAGCAAATTGTTGGTTAATATGGTGACTGGAAAAAGACTTGTCACAGGGGAAGAAAGTAATTTTGTTGGGGTGGCGAAAAAACGTTGTTGCGACAGCGTTGAAATTTAAATTGGCATAACCGAAAATGAATAAACAAACTTTCTTGCTGTCCAAACAAATCTTCTTACTGTCGCCTATAGTAACTAGCAATTTTCCAGCAAAATTGTTTCCTCCGCGTACAGTCACCGCGAGGAAACGCAACGAACAACAATTGAGTCAGTCGTGTTAGCTTAAAACTGTTCTCGAGCGGAAGACGTGCAGATTCCGGAATGAATAATTGCGCGGCATTTTATGCCAATTATAATAACGACGAGTTATCACGCGTCGTCCGTCACAAACGGGTTGCCGGAGTGAAAACCGAGTTACGTCCCGAGAATTCAACATCGTGCGCTTTTAATGTTTCTACAATTCAGTGAAATAGTACGATTTAGGAAGGCCGCACTGTCGTTAACGTGGGACAATTAAACAAAGAAAGTCTCTTAAGAGATACAGGCCGAACTTTCTCCGCTGCTTTGTGCAGTTTTGCCCCCGAGAGGTGCAATTCGTATTAGTTCCTCCCGCACACGCATGTAACTCGCAATCCGACTCGCTTCTGAAAGAAAACGACCGCAAGAATCCGGGGCATCGACGCGCAAAAATGTTACTCCACGGAGCCTAAATTATGGATACGACGGGCACCTCGTCCTTGCGTACCAAATTTCGCAACACCGAGCGGTTTGCCCACGACGACGCATCAGTCCGCGGCTGTGCTCGCCGCTCTATAAATATATGCCGGCGAGCGATTTAAAAGTGCAGTGACGGTAATAGCCGCCGCCGCGCAGTCCTGTAACCGCGTTATAAAATATTAATAGCGAGACCCTCCTGGAGACCTTCTCTCGGAGACGAGCGCGAGGATCACGAAACGCGCTCGTCCCCTTTCTCGCGACTCACCTGAATGCGCGTCTCGACGCGCAATGATAATCTGTAGTAGGCTGCGCCGAAGTCGATCCACCGGCAGGTGCCATGCATATGCATAAACGAGGAGGGGGGTGGCCTGGGGAGGGAGGGGGGCATGGGAAAAGCAATAGACGCCGCGCTGTTTGCGGTAGCCGCAGGACGGACGAATCGAACGCGACGTTCACCTCGACGTGTGAATGAAGCGGCCGAGTGTAACGCGGATAGAAACTCCATTCACGCTCGCCGGCGGAAAAAGTCGCGACGCGACCGTATATATCGATTGCGATCAACGGCGAGTTCGACGGGAGCCGGCGAACACCCGCGGCTTTGTTCGAACGTGCGCCTGCACCCTCTCATTCGGGACGTAAGCGGTCTTAATTATTAACCTTCCGGCGAAAGAAACGGCGTGTTCCTTGTTACGTCGTTTCCCCCCGGCCAGGCTTGCGTTACTTTCAAAAGGAAAGGAACGGATTTGCAGCGAGCGACGTTACGCGAGTATCGTAAGGATGAGGAAAATCGTCCACCAAGACGATTTTGCGGGGAAATCTGGATTCTTTTTTAAGAGGCTGCACATGCTCGAGAGGCTCGAAAAAGAGGCCCGCAGCTTGAATTTTTCTGCCGACCGTGTTGACTTCATAAAGATGTCCCGTCGAGGAGTGATTCTTAGCATCTCGATTTATGTATTACATAAAGCCTATTATGAAAAGTTGATATGTAATAATGAATTATCAAAGCTCTCGTGTTGTACAATCAACAGGCAATCAAAGGCAAGTAAGAGCCAAATTAAACTAACTAACAGCTGGCATTTGGCTGTTACTTGCCTCTGATTGTCTGTTGACTAATATGTAATGTGCTATTATTATTATTTTCGTGAAGCTCGTTATCGTTAATCAGTATTCAAAATATCGCGGGAACCATTGGACCGATTTAACTGTAGTTTTGCATAGATATTCTTAGTAAGAAGACTATCTAGTTTTTAGTTGTAGGATTTTTTAATATCTATTATAGTTGTTTTTTTTATAAACGGAAAGAAAAAAATACATTTTTTACGAAAAATCGAACTTTTGACTTTGAATAACTTTAACGAATTTAATAATTTTGTAAAACAAAATTTTTTTTTAATCGGCTACGATAAAAAGTTTTGTTTATCTACTTGGATAGATTTAAGCTGATTTGTTTTAGATAAATGTTGGTGTCGGAGATTTTTTGGGTGCCGAAAATGCCGATTAACGATGACGAGCAGTAATAGTAGCAGGCAGTAACAACAGCATTGTATATCGACTTTCTATAATAGGCTTCGTGTAATACGTAAATAAAAGTATGAAAAATCATCTCTCAAAAGGACATTTGCATAAAGTCAATAATGTGGCCAGCGGAGAGATTCAAACATCGGGCGTTATCGAGCCACTCAGGTGTACGTGGCTCCCTAAGATGTTTTTTTTTTGCAGAAGCTGCAATAGAAAAAATCAAGATAGCTGTGAAATAAAGGGAAGCTGGTAGTGCCGCGATGCAGCACTAAACATGTCGTGCGCAATTTATGAAACACTATCCTCCGCATAAATCAACGCGACCTTTATTTTCACGCTGACTAAGCCAAACACCGATCTGGTCGGCGCTTGCGTCGCGGGGAAATGTTTTATCAAGTGCGGGTGCCTGAAAGGAGGTTCCGAGGAATTACTGGCGGTTGCAGCCGGTCCCGGATAATGAGTTTGGAAATACGCCACGAACCTTGAGCATAACTTCCGTCACGATCTGTACGATAACAGGCTAGCAGGTATTCTAAGAAGAAGATCCGGTGGCTCCTGCTAAAAATAATTAACACGAGTCGACTTTGCGCGCAAAAACCCACTTTTGCAACAAGGTTGGCCGCGGTCTATAAACGGAACTACAGTAGACACGCGATCGCTCGAATCGCCAGATGATAAAGAAGAAAAAGGTATAATAAAATATATTGGGAAGCGAGGAATGTAAAATCCCGAGTGATTTTTAAGCAATATTCGTACACGCGGGTATAAAGGAAGGATTACGCGTTATCGTTTATCGGAATCTTTATGGCCAACGTCCGCGCCAAGTTTGGTAATCGCTACGGGTTCCCATCTCTGTTGGGTAAAGACGCACGAAGTTTTAATGAAATCATAGCCGGGAGATACCGCCCGAAGTTACGCTCTCCTTCGACATATTGCTTCTCTCGGTGCTTACGCGCACCCGCAGACATGATCAGTATTTTACACAAAGTTTCTCGAGACGCCTTTTTAAAACTGTGGACTTGGTTTCTCTCGCTCTCTCTTTCCCCCAATCTCATAACACGTACACAACGGGAAAAAGATTTGATCACCAAGATTTTGTAGAATAATCTCAACTAAATTGTTTGATACTGCGACTAAATCATT